CACAGTGTTGGTACTTCCATCTTTGTTGGTATTACCACCTCGATTCCATGCGTCAAGTTAAAAGGTGTTTCACTAGTTGCTATTTTGACAGTCGTTCGGTAGGCCCATAGCACACTTGGTAGCTCATTCACCCACAAACCTTTAGCTCGGGATAGCCAAGCTTTGAGGCCGCGGAGGATGGCCCTGTTGGTTACCTCAGCCTGACCATTAGCTTGGGGGTGAGCAACCGAGGTGAAATTTTGCCTTATTCCCATCTACACACACTAGTCCTGGAATTTCATGTCTTCAAACTACTTCCCATTGTTTGAGATCAGTACTCTTGGTAGGCCGAACCTACAGACGATATTCCTCTAGAAGAAATTTTGAACGTTGTGAGCTATTATAGTGACCAATGGCTTGACTTTCACCCATTTTGTGAAATAGTCTACTGCCACTACTAGAAACTTTTTTTGACCCTTCGCTGGTGGGAAGGGGCCTAGCAAGCCTCTCCCCCATTGCACGAACGACCATGGGCTGGTTAAATATTTCAGGTCGGCCGCTGGCTGGTGTAGTATGTTGGCATGTTGCTGGCATTTATAACATCTCCAAACCAGCTCGACCGCATCTACTTTCATGGTGGGCTAGTAGTACCCTTGTTGTAGGGCCTTCTAAGCTAGGGCCCTGCCCCCAAGTGTCCTCTATAGAGCCCTTCGTGGATTTCATGTAATACCCAGTTTGCCTCAACTAGGTGTAGGCACCGGAGATATGGCAACGTGAAAGACCTTTTATAGAGTTGCTCACCTACTATCACGTAGTGAACTACTTTGTCGTTCTGTCTGCCGAGTTGCATTTTGTTCTTTTGGCAATACACCTTAGGTAGTCGAAAATTGGATCTATCCAGCTCGGCTCTGCAATTGATATTTGGACGACCTCTTCTGTCCCTTTCTCTATCAACGGGTAACGTAGCTCTTCTATGTGGACTGTTCTTTTGGTCGAGTCTATTGCACTCGCCAACCTGGAGTGAGTGTCAGCTTCTGTCTTTTCCTATCTCGGAATTTGTTGGAGATGCTAAGAATGGAAGTTGGGCAGGAGTTCTCTCACCTTAGCTAGATAAGCAGACATGGCAGGTTCTCGAGCCTTATACTCATCATTTACTTGGTTTACCACAAGTTGGGAGTCACTGCAAACCACGGGATGCTTGGCCCTAACTTCTTTTGCTAGTGCCAGCCTAGCTACAAGTGCCTCATACTCAGCCTCATTGTTTGAAACTCAGAACAAAAATCAGAGTGTGTATTCTAGTTTCACCTTGCTAGGTTCGTAGAGTATCAACCCAGCTCCACTTCCACTCTAGTTAGACGAGCTGTCCACATGAAGTATCCAGGGCTCCTCATCCTAGCTCGTGACCTTATGAGTTGGAGCTAGTGCCACACTAGTTGAAGCTTCTGACGTGTTTATGAGCTCGATCACTTCGGGGGTTGGCGAGCTAAAGGTACACTCGGCAATAAAGTCTACTAGAACCTACGCTTTTATTGATGGTCGTGGCTCATAATGGATGTTGTATTCGCTGAGCTCTATTGCCCATTTTGTCAGTCTCCACGAGACCTCAATCTTCTGAAGGATTTGCCTCAGAGGTCGATCAGTCAGGACTACGATGGTAAGGGCCTAGAAGTAGGGCCTTAGTTTCCAGGCTACCAATACTAGTGCAAAGGCGAGCTTCTCTATGTTTGGGTACCTCGTCTCAGTAGCGTGCAGGACTTTGCTCACGTAGTAGATAGGCCGCTGCACTTTATCTACTTCTCTTATTAGGACAGAGCTAACCACATCGTCACCCATGGAGAGGTAAAGTTTGAGCTCATCCTCGGTCTCAGGTTTGGTCAATAGGGGAGGTGAGCTGACATATCTTTTTAACTCATCGAAGGTGAGCTAACACTCCTCGGTCCATTCAAAACTTTGGCTTTTCTTTATAGCTTTAAAGAAGGGTAAACATTTCCTAGCTGACTTAGACATAAATCGGTTTTGGGCAACTATTCGACCAGTTAATTTTTGGGTCTCCTTAACCGAGCTAGGAGGTTGCATGTCTAGGATTGCCTGTATTTTTTCTGGGATCGCCTCGATACCACGTCGATTAACAATGTACCCAAGGAACTTACTCGAGGTCACCCAAAGGCGCACTTGTTTGGGTTAAGTTTTAAGTTATGTTATCTCAAAACGTTGAAAATGAGGTCTAGGTTGGTGAATAAATCATTTGAAAATGAGTTTTAACTACCATATCATCAACATAACACACCATTTTATTTCCAATTAAGTCAGAAAACACATGATTTACAAGTTGTTGGAAGGTTGCTCCAGCATTTTGTAGTCCAAAGGGCATGACATTGTAGCAGTACAAGCCCATTTCAGTTACAAAGGCCATTTTTCTTGGTCTGCCAGGTCCATTTGAATCTGGTTATAGCAGGAGTATGCGTCCATAAAACTCAACAGCTCGAATCCAGAGGTCATGTCCACCAGGCGGTCTATCTAGGGCAAGGGGAAGTTGTCTTTGGGGCAAGCTCGGTTTAGGTCTGTGTAAATGACGCACATGAGCCACTTGCCGTTGACCTTTTTTACCAGCACCGGATTTGCTATCCAGCTTGAGTACTTCACAAAGTCCGTTGTCAGTAGCTTCCCCACCTCTTCATCTACTACTTGCCATCTTTCCGGGGTGAGGTTCCCTTTCCTTTACTGGCTTGGTCTACCTGTTGGGTCAACATTTAATTTATGAGTTATAAGTTCAGGGTCTATGCCAAGCATTTTTGTAGCTGACCAGGAGAAAACATCCAAATTATTAAGCAAAAATCTTACTAGCTTGGAGCGCGTAGGGTTTGTCAGGCGAGCTCCTATCTATAGTGTCTTTTTTGGCTTCGTTTTGGAAATCGGAACCAAAATGGTTTCTTTGGTAGGTCGAGCTCGCCCATCTATATTCTCAAGTGGTGGCTCCAAGTCGATGTCGATGGCAATCTTGCCTTTTGCCTTCAAGGCAGCCACGTAGCACTTATGGGATTCCTAAAGGGATGAGAAATCCATCCCATGGATGCCCAAAGATTGCAGATTAAGGGGCGGATTTCAAAAATTTTTCTCTCCCTTCAATTGGGAATCACATTCCCTATTTAGAAAATCATATTTTCAAGGATCAATCTTGAACCATAAACTGAACCAGATCTGAACCAAAAGGAGYARGAGAGAATTATACCTRATACGGAGAAGTAGTATCTCCCAACGAAGGTGTTTACGCCCAAGGAAGGAACCAAAGACTGCTCCCACTGAAGATGGCGCAGTGCAGGTGGAGCAGAATCAGTAGTGTTCTTCTCCAAGAACTTTGTCCTTCGCAAGGATCAGCAAAATGGTACGTGAGCACAGCTTCCTTTCAATCCTTTCTCAAAGAACTGATGTCAAGATCCAATCTTGACTTTTCCCACAACTGGAGATCGAACTGGCAAACAGGACAGCAAGAACAGGGAGGCGGCAAGAGAGTACTCGTAGGGAGCAGAATTCTCTCTTCTTGATTTTTTGCACTAGAGGAAATCTGTTGTCTGTCTAAAGGCTGCCGCCCCCTTCTTCTTTTGTAATCTTAAAGGGATCAGCTCCTAATCAGATTAGGAGTTGCTAATTCAAATCATATTTGGGTTAGAAGTCCCTTTACGTGATAAGGGATAATCCTTATCTCATCTGCAGATCAGATCAGCCATCTCCTAATCTGATTAGGAGGTTTCCAAATCTAAATCTCATTTAGATCTTGGACTCTCTAAGTGGATAGGGTCTAAGCCCAATCCTATTAGCTGATCCACTTCAGAATTCGCCCCTTTA